AATGCTTGTGACAGCCACGACATCAGCTAATCGAACCATTCTTTTCGTCCACACCACGCATCGGAGTGGTTACTTGAAGCAAAGACTTCATCATGTGGCCTGGCTTCACATTGCATAAGTTAGCAAGTTCGAATATGTATGACAGACAAACCCACACACACACACACAGACAGACACACACTCGGGCAATCCCGCTCACGGACGCTCAACAGTGCTGGCATTGCCTTCACCAGCATAGCTGCCAGTAGTAGTTGCATGTAGAGGTGTCAGCCTTGGAACGACAATAGAAGAATCGAGTCTACAAGCCTAAAACATCGAACCGATGCCATGCGCTTGTGACAAGGGCCTATCAATTAGGCTCAATGAGACCGAACGCCTGGATGCAGCATCAGGTAATCGAACCATTCTCAGTCCACACTCCCGTAGCTTCAGCGTGGTTACTTGAAGAAAACAGTGTCATCCTGCCGCCGTGCGACGCAACCATCCAACAGAAAGCTTGTGAGCCACGACATCAGGTAATCGAACCATTCTTTCCGTCCACACCAAGCATCGGAGTGGTAACTTGAAGCAAAGACTTCATCATGTGGACTGGCTACACATCAGCATACTTTCAAACATGTACACACACACACAGAGACACTCGCGCAATCCTGCTCACTGACGCTGAACAGCCAGAAATCGATCTTCTAGCTTGGTCTTTACCAGCACACCTGCAAGTGGCTACTTGCAGTCGTGTCAACCGCCGTCCGAGCATCCAACACCATGCTTGTGACAGCTACGGCATCAGGTAATCGAACCATTCTTTTCGTCCACACCAGCATCGGAGTGGTTACTTGAAGCAAAGACTTCATCATGTGGCTTGGCCTCACATCTGTTTTCACCACGCATGCACTGCAGTGCAGCAGTGGACCGCACAGATGCCGGGTAGATGTGTCCTCCACCAAATGCAACAGCAAGAAACAGGTTCACATGCATAGCAGCTGCACAAGACCTGGCTTGGCTTCCCACAATGCCCAGAAAACTGCAGACTGCCAGCCGAACAACCGAATTCCACTACGACCCATGCGACTCGACTTACAAGCATCGAAAATGACAGATGCACCCTAAACCCCAAACCCCAACCCCAAGCACAACATAGTCAACCCCAATCCCCACGCACAAAAGACACAAGAACGCTGGAGTCACGCCGGAGGCCGGAGAACTTCCAACCTTCATTGCAAAGGCGCGGTGATACTTGGAACCTGACTGACAAGAAATGCACTTACACAGGGCCTAAGTAGCGAGATCGAGCTACCAAGCATGCAGAACTGCCCATCTTAGCTGCACCAAACATTAACCGTAAACCCCCAGCCCGAAACCCTGAACCCGAAACCCTAAACCATGAACCCTAAACCTGAATCCCTTAACGCAAACCCTTAACCCTAACACAGCTAACACCCCGCCCCCCCCCCCTTCTGGCACTGGAGGAAGGCCGCCTCGGGTTCCATGAGCTGACAGAGCAAATTCTCACCTGAAACTGGGACTCTGCGGTTTGAGGTCCCTATACGGTTTAGGGTTTAGGGTTTAGGGTTTAGGGTTTAGGGTTTAGGGATCATGGGGCTGAATGAAAAACTAGGGTTTAGGGTTCTGTGCTAGGGTCTAGGGTTCCTTTTTGAGAGTTCCACACCATAGGGTTCCTTTAAGGGTGTAGGGGTTTAGGGTCTACTTACGGGATCATGGGACCTAGTAGCAAGGGCTACTTCAAGAGCTCCGTAAAGGGCTCCTTAAGGCATCTATGCGGGTTCTGTAAACGGGATTAGGGTTTAGGGATTTGGTTTAGGTTTTTTGCTTTTAAGTGGTTTAGGGTTTAGGGTTTAGGGATTTTCGAGGTACTTAGAGGATTATGGGATGCAGCAATTACGGGTATACGTGAGGGAACTCTGCTTATTACAGCTACTTCCAGCCCGAATTCAGGTGCTTATAACCTTGCCTGCTGAGTCCCATGATCCTCCGTGATGGCTTCTATAAGGATCCTGTCACGGGTTCTATACCTATCAACCAAGAGGGTCCATATACACTACTATTATGGAATTAGGTCCCCCAAACCAAAATAGGACTGGTCTTTTAAGGCCTAATTCCATAATGGTAGTATATGGGAAAGTAAGGGTCCTCATTATACTGGGTTCGATAAGGGTCCTAACAGTTGGTCCTATACGGGTCCTATGACAGGTTGCATAACACTCAGACCTAAACCCTAACACCCTGAGTCCTATACACACTAAACTAAACCCTAAACCCTGAACCCCTGAATCCTACACACACTAAACCCTGCCTGCCCTGTTAACCCTGTATGTGGTGTTCAACCGTACTTAAAGGATCATGGGACTTAGTAAGTAGGGTTATAACTAAGGTAACGATACTTATAACCCCAAATTAGGGGACTTATAACCCTACTTACTAAGTCCCATGATCCTCCAAGCAGGTGTGTGTCCCCTTGCAGCTCGGGCGGCGTTTCCGGCATCTACCGCTTCGGTGCACGGAGGCGCCCAGGGTTCATACGGCATTCACCCTAAGGGTCCATGTACCCAAATAGTATGTACTTTGGCCCTAATGTAGTCCCTATATAGGTACTTTATGGCCAATGTTCTACTAGTTGGGTACATGGACCCTTAGGGTCAAGCAGTGCTCAGGATGTCATAAAGGCTTCCACAAGGTTTAGGGTTTAGGGGTTCGGGTTTGGGGGTTTAGGGGTTTAGGTTTTAGGGTTTTGCAGGTTTAGGGTTTAGGGTCACCCTGCGAAAGCCACTATGCCATGGATACCGAACTCCTCAACCCTAAATGCCTTGCGAACCCTCGAAAGGCTTTGTGCCCTGCCCTAAAGCCCTATGCACCTATATAGTCTTAGTATATGGGTGGTTGTCAAAATTAGGGTCCCTTTTTGGGTTCTCATTTTAAGGGTGCCGTACTATATTGGGGACCTAAAACGGGACCCTAATTTAGAGAACTGCCCATATGCAAATTATGGCCTGAGTATATACCATATAGGCACATGGAGCCTATTAGCGTGCACCCCAAAGCCCCAAAAACTCAAGCCCTACACCCTAAACTCCTTCTGCCCTAAACCCTAGAAGCCCCATAGAACCCCTTGTACACTCCTACAAAAACCCTGAAACAACCCTAAACCCTAAAACCCCTGCACCTTTGAGGACGACGAAGGTGTGTGCGTAAAGCTCATTCTGAAGCCTTTGCCTCTCTTGGGGATCCTTCCGGTTCAGGGCCTTTCGTTGGGGTTTAGGGCTTAGGGTTTATAGAGGTCTAGGGTTTAGAGTTTATAGGGTTTCTTTTGGTAGGGTTTGTAGAGGTTTGGGGTTCAGGATCTGATTTCGGATATGTTCTTGTAAGGTTTGTGGAGGTGCAGGGCAGTATTTTCTGGGTTTATAGTTATCCTTCGGTTTAGGGTCTTTTCATCTTGTTTATAGAAGTTCGGGCTTTAGGAATTTGGTTGTAAGGAAGATCGATGAGGTTTATTACAAAAAGGTTTAACGCTTTAGGGCTTTAGGTGCTAGAGGTCTATAACTTTGTTAAATTATGGCGGGGTTTAGAACCCTAAACCCTAAACCCTAAACCTTAAACCCTAAATGGCTCATAAACGAGGGGGTTTCATTGTTGGGGTTTTGGGATTCAGACCCGATTCTGAGTTCCCAGCTGAGGGAAGCGCACCCAAACCGGTAGCAGCTTTGGGGCTTTATTTAGGGGTTTAGGGTTTAGGG